GAAGTGTGCTTTATGCCCGAATAAAATTCCTGATAACGATGCCCACACGGAATGCGTGGGCTGCCTGGGAGAGGCCCATCTCTCTCAGGCATGTGAGATTTGTATGGCGTTTACGCCACAAACCAAAAAGAATAGGGAAATAAGGCTTAAAGCTGCTCTTTACGAGCAAGCCTTGCTTCCCTCAATTCAAAATGAGGACGTGGAAACGCCAAAACAAAAGATAAATAAAAAACTACAGTCTACGACGCGTCCAAAAGGCGCCCACGCTGACGAGCTTCTCATTAAGAAGAAGAAAAGGATCAAACCGCTTATCTCCGTTAACAAGGAGAAAAAGATGGCYCAGCAAATGAAGCCGCAAATTCAGGCGGCTAAAGGCTCCCCTTTAAAAAAGGAGGATCAGTCAGTGGGCGAGGGGGTGACCCCTAAACAACCCACGGAGAGGAACAATCAATTAGTGGGTGAGGGGGTGACCCCTAAACAACCCACGGAACGAAAAAGAGGGGATTGTTTGACTGAGGAGGAGATTTCTGAGTCCTCAACAACTCCGCCTGCGCTATCAAAAGCTATTAATGAGGCACAAACCTTAATGGATGCTTTGGCTCCTAAGCAGACTCTTCTTCAGTCGGGATCGGCAATGGAGCCTCTCCCTCGTCGAAGGGACCGCCCTCCATCCCGAGCGAAGGGAAAGCGTCGACGTCGACGACGCTCCGTATCAAGGAGCTCTTCAAGCCCCTCCTCTGACTCCTCCTCTAGCTCCTCCCCCGCTCCGAGGAGAGGGAAGAAGAAAGCCAAGAGAGATCCTTCCTCTAGCTCCTCCCCTGCTCAGAAAAAAGGAAAGAAGAAGCGGAGAAGAAGCTCATCCTCTAGCTCCTCCCCTGCTCCAAAGAAGGGGAAGAAAAAYACTAGAGGACGGAGCAGCACAGCCAAGCCTCAAGCTCCTGCGAAGTGGCTGAATGGACAGAATAACCAATTTGGKCCTATGCCCCCACAGGGAGGGTTTTGGCAGATGACTCCACAAGGWCAAATGGTTTACTGTGCAGGTCCTGTCCCTTGTCACTACCAACCAAGTGATTCCCACGGGGGGAATCACTTGAAACATGTCATGAGCCAGGAAGAAGACCCATTAGAAGGTCCTTCCACGCCTTGCTTTCAACAAGAATCTGTAATAGACCCATCTGATTCTTCTGARGAAAATGCATTCATTCTAAAGGAACCGAAGGAGACTYTTCTAGACAAATCTAATGCTGAAGAATTCAAAAAATTCAACGCCATGCTAGCCAGGATGATTAAGGCTTTGGATTTACCAGCTCCTAAGCCGCAAGATACTGTAGAAGACCCTATGTTTCCGGCTGAGCAGCAGGAATCRCCTGTTAGTACTACGRTCCCAACTTTGCCTTATTTACTTAAGCTAACTAAAGTGCCTGAAGGTTCCCCAGCATTGGCACCAGCAATGCCTAGGAGAGTGGACAGTTTGTATAGGGTTGACTTAGCGAATGCTGAATGGCTGGTGCGCCCATTTAGACCCAACACAGTGATCGCCGAAGTGGGTCAGGGAAAAAAACCCAGGAAGACAGCCTCAGCCCCGGCAGATAAAGAAGGCAAGAAGATTGATGTGATGGGGAAGAAGATGCACATGGCGGCTGGCCTCATTGCAAGGATGGCCCATTACGCCACTTATTTGAGTGCTTATCAAACTTATTTATGGAACAGAATGATTCCATACATTACTATCCTCCCAGAGGATGAACAGCGTTTACCGAGTGCATTTAGCAAAGAAGCCCTTGTTGTATCAAGGTACCAGAAAGACTTTGCTAAACATTTAGCAGAATCGGCTGGTAAAATGTTTGCTATTGCTACATCAGCTAGGCGTCATGCATGGCTTAGGGCTTCGGATCTATCTGAAGAGGGTAGATTACTAGCGGAGGATCTTCCTATGCATCAGGATGGTCTGTTTAACCCAGTGACCGATGACAGACTCAAACACAATCAGGAAATGAAAAAGACCATCCAAGTTTACGGCTTTCCGAAACAAAATAATTATCAACAGAAGCCGAGGTGGCAGAATTCTTCACCTTACTATAAGAGAAACTTCGGTAACTATATGACCACACAGCAAAGGCAGCAGTCATCGCAATTTAATAGATCCTTTGGACA